TGAACTGAAGTTGCAGCCGCAAGAAAGTGGCCGCGAGTCGCAAGTCGTCAGTTGCACCTGGTGTTTGCCGCTTGCTCAAATCCACTTGCTTGAACCTCGTCAGGGCAATCATGCCTAGGAGGAAGAACCAGCCGTGCCTGGCTAGGGCGCTTTCGGGAGTGTTTACAGCTACGACGTCCAACTGAACACCGCCGGTGAGGGCTTGGTAAAGCCGAAGGGGGTGGATCGGCCGCTTCAGATACTCGGTAAAGTTCCTCAGGTTGTGAATCATCTGAGGCGTCGACTTTGTCTGTCCAATGGCTCCTTGCATGTGCTCGATGGTCGTTTTGAGGTCTGACTTGAGGAGGTCCTTTCGGGGCATCCTCCTTGCCAGGACCGTAATCTTGTCCACAAGCTGCATGGCGTTGCGCTTCTCGAGTTTCTCCGGGGGGCAGCCATGGTCCTGAACCTCTCCAGCACCGACACCAAGTTTGAGACCGTGGAGGTCGTAAAGCACTTGCCCAAGATAGTCTTCCCAGTTTTCAATCTTCTTGAACTTGAGCAACTCAACCCGCATCATCTTCAAGAAAATCTTGTTTGAGGCTTTACAGCATTTCCTGAGCCCAATTACCTGATGGATTGCAGACAAAAAGTCTGCCAACTCCATCTCAGGATTCGGGAATATCTTTCCGTTTTGGTTTACACCGACCTTGACGACCGTGTACTGGAGGCACCATACACGCACTTGAATCTCACGCAGCTTGTTGAGGAAAGGCTGGAATGAGGGACTACTCGGCGGGACACGTGTCATACCGATGCGAATTTCGTCCTCATGCATTGCCGATACGTGAAGCATGCAGCTCAATTTGATGAGAGCAGCCGATGTCGATTTGAGATGGTCTTCATCGACAATGTCGTAAGCGGAGCTATCATTCAAAGCCAACGAAAGTGCCGTGATCAGTAGATCATCCAGCGATTTGAGCATCTTCAACACTAACGGCGGTCTAGTTTCTGGAGCGTTCTTGAGATAACTGTCGCTTTCCAAGTCCGCCGTGAGCATCTCGATGGCTTTGAGCTGGCATGAGAACTGTTTCGTCGAATATTTGATGCTGGCATACGCGTCGCTAAGTCGTGTCCAGAGGAAAAGACGCAGTTCCGTGCTAGTTCCCAACAAAAACCTCCAAAGATCCTGAAGGCTTTGGCTTGCACACTCCATGATGGGCACTTTCTTCGTCTTGGAGCGGCCAGATGCCTCTTCTCCGTCTTCTGCCGAATCCTCGGATGGCAGGGTGACGTAAACAGACCCTGGATTGAGGACGGGCTCAAGGTTATCAATGACGGCAACTGGGTCGCTAACATTGTCCTGGAAGAGTCCGAGGAAGAAGTCCATAGTGGTCAGCTTAGAGATCTCTCTATCGGCCGCCGCCTCCGAAATTTCAGGTATCACCGGATTATTCGGAAGGAGTAGTTGATCAATCCCACTTTCTGCGAGGAAATCTCGTAAACTGGTCCAGCACTGCAGAATGTACTCTCTCGACGCGTTCTCCGTAAGAGTCGTGGAAAAGATGGCAGCCCAGAGGAAGCGGCCAGTCAAGTCTTCGTTGCCTTCTTCTGCGGCGTCCCTCAGCAAAGCTGAAGCCATGTCTAGCCACCGACCCAAGCGACCCCTGGCTTCAACGCGGATGCTGTAGTCAACGACACTGTTGGGGTTGGTGATTCTCTCATACACGTCAAGGTGAATCTCGAAGAGCATCTCGACAATGTGTTTAACAAACCCAAATTCCTTGTTCGCATCGTCTGATTGTCTCGCGCGGTCCAAGTCGTAGTTGATGGCTTGAAGGATATCCTGATTGAACCTACTGATGACTTGGACGACGGCTGTCTTCAAGACATCTGACCACTTCGTTTGGAGATAGCTGGGACATATCGTCTTGATCCATTCGTACGCAACATCCTGGGCAGTCATCCAGGAGGAATTTACGCGCTTTACAAAAGCAGTGATGCCCTGCGTCTCCTTGAAGGGTGGTATGATTGACATCTTCTGAGAACCCCCTTTGGCATGCTCAAGGAAAGAAGACAGGCTTAGTGATGCCTGTGCCTGTTTGTTGAGCAAGATTTTCGCATTCTCCTCGCTGAAAGAGACGATCGCATTGCGGAGATCCAAGGTCGCTTGGTTTTTTATGGAAGCGCCGCGTTCCTCGGCAGCAAGGGAGTCCAACACTTCGCTGATGCGGTCTAGAGTGTCCTGATTCGTGACTCCGATGTTTTCCAGCATGTTCTTAGTAGCCTGGAACAAATTTTGGTCGGTGGCTTGATAAGGGGCCAGCTGGGATGCAAGCACGGCACTTGGGTCCGGAACTTCTTCTGCGGCTGCTGTCTCTCGCCTCCTAATACGCTTACTCCTTTTTTCGACGAGGCTCTCCTCCTCTTGGCCCTCGGGATTGCCAGCTGCTGAATGGGATCGCTTTCGAGAGGGCTGGGAGGCGCTTCGACCCTTGCGAGTGCTCTCAGCAGGTTTGGGAGTTTCCTTCGCAGCGGGCTCCACGCTCTCTGTCTTTCCCGTAGTTTCCTGCTTGTCCTCCTGTGCCGAGTTCTCGCCCTTTTCTTTGCCATCCGAGCCGTTTGCTTGTACTTCCTGCTCTGGTTGGCTTTCCATAACCACGTCATCATCGTCATCCGTTTCAGGAAGCTCAATGACAATGCCGCGGCTTGTCTGCCCCATTTCGAGTATGAACTGCACGAGTGCCATACCCAAGTCGGCCCATGATGCAGTTGGGACCTCTACAGTAAGACGGGCGAGGCCTGCTTCCTCGACATTGGTGCGGGCGGACCCAGTTTCCTTTGTCGGATTCGGCAAATACGGCATGGGATCAATGTGTCGTTTGATGAAGTCGGGCATGTCTCTCTTTACCCAAGGACCCATGATGGGGTGAGACAAGGCGATCTCATCCGACAGGGCTTGCAGCTGGTCCTTGAGTTGTTGACCGGCGAATCCTTCTGCCAAAGATGGTGGCTCGACCTCGAGAACAGCGGGGTCATCGTCGAGTTCGATAGCAGCTTCGAGGCAGTATCTGTTGATTCTGGAGCTCTTCAACGATGCAGCAACACGGGCTGTACGACGCCACAACTCTGCATCGGACGGATCGCGGTCAAGAGCGGCATTGAAGTCGACCAGAGCGCTATGCATATTTTGGAGGGCATCGTCCTTCTCGAAGTAAGACGACGCATCGTCTCCGGCGGCTCGGGCGGCATGTCGGGTGCGATCAAGGAGAAATTGACCGCGGTTCTTGTATGCAAGGAAGAAGGCTTGAGGAAGACTGCTGCCGGTGGTATCAACATCGGCAGATTGAAGATCGAGAGTGCCGGCGAGAGCGGGATCGGCGAGTAATTGATCTGGCTGCCTTTCTGCCCTTTCGTACTCGGTAGAAGCCTCGGGGTATTTGAAGATTTCGGACTTGAAGAGATCGTCGTAGGCGTCGGAAGCTTCGTCGAAGAATCGAGGGCCTTGAGCATGCAGCTTCAGGGCATTCTGGAAGCGCTTGAGAGCTTCATCGACCTGAGAAGTAGTCAGTATGGGTTGGAATATCGGAGCGATACATCGGCGCGTACATGAAGCTCGCGGGTGGTGTCGACCTCATCATCCGAGTTCTCCTCGGCTTCGACGTTGATCGCTTGGAAAGCCGGCTACATATTGGGGTTAGCTTTGGTCGCAAGGGCAAATATTTGATGACATTTCATATACGAACCATATTGTCGGCAGGGTCTTGCGACCGGATTGATTATAACGACGATCTAGTATATATAATAACGTGCGATGTGAAGGAGGGGATCGGATGTTCAAAAGGATGTGGTTCTAGACGAATGCGCAGCCATAATGACCTTGGGGAAAATCGATGCGCGTGGCTTCGAGGATTGACGCGACCTGAATTCAGGAACGTTAAATTGGTTGCTTGCTGGCGGTACGTATCGCACTACACCAGCTACCTAAGGTAGGTAAGGTAGGTAGTGGAAGGGAGAGCCCACAGGGCACTTGCAGCTTTCGCGTCAGACTCTGGCCAGGGGTTAGCTTCTAGCTTTCAGCTCCAAACTCCCTGATAGGCTGATAAGTATACCTCAGGTAGTTTGCTCTGTATCCGTACAGGACAATTAGGCCAAGGCTCAGGGGGTTGCGCTGTTCGAGTGTCCGTGCAGCGACTCAAGCGAGGTACGTTACATAAGCATCCAATTCGGTACCAGCTAGCATCTCAGCACCTCAGGAACATGGCAATGCGGCAAGCCGCAAACCACCTCACACCTAGAGCCTAGAGGTGCGTTGGACCCACCCGATCCAGGCCCCGGCCACGTTTGAGTCCCGCCGGCCGTCGAATGGAACTTGGGAAAGCGCCCGTGGTCTAATTAAATCGTGGCTCTCTGGCGGTTGGCCCTGTCAATCACCTCCAGCAAAGCAGCGTGGCAGCTCCATCTGCTCTCCATCACGTCTGTCCCCTGCCAATGACAGGCCTCAAACTCCCTTGTCAGTTGCACAACGTCAATTATTATCGAGGTGTTCCAAGCTGGCAACAGGTTCCCAGTCCTAGACTCCTGGCACACGTACGGAGCACGGAATACGGAGCAGGTAAGTAAGTACCTATCTGAGAAGGATACAGAGGGTCGTGGAGTCCAAGCTTGCCCACAGTGCCTACCGTCACCACCTACCTACCTTCTTTCCCCAAGTGTCCAGTTCACGCCGCACGCCGCAATCCCACCTCCAAGTCCACCTTGCACAAGCTGTGCACTTCAATCCTCCATCCCTCGTCAATCTCACCGACCACACCTCAAACCGCCTCCAATCACCAACATCCATCCCTCTACTCCCAGCCATTCTCTCGAGCGTGCGGGCCAGGATCGCTCATAGGCGCCTTCTCCTGCGCGCACACATGCATCGAATCGTTCGCTCATAACACCGTATCCAGTCCATCCTCATCGAGAACGTTGCTTCCACACTGCGCGCCGCCAAAGCTTGACACGCAACAACCGCCGCCATGGTTGCGCCGGCTGTGCCCGAGTTAGTCTACCATCCCCATTCCATCCGTTCACTGCTTCTAATTCTAATCTGTTTGCCAGGCTTACCGAGGAGATTCTCTCTGAATCAATTGAAGCCCGAACCGAATCCCTCATCTCCCTTCGGGAGCTTGGCCCTCCCGATCTTGTCCATCTCCTGAAGCAGGCCACGAGAAACCCTGGCAAGCAGGTAAATGATAGTCCACATCCAACAAACCTATAGCTGTGCTAATTAGCATCGTGCTGTAGATCGGAGTTTACCACCACGTCACCGGCGTCGACGCTTCGTCCTCGGCCAGTCTTGCTGCCTACATCAACACCCTGACCTACCGCGAGCATGGCCAGGCTGTGCAAACGAAGATTTCGGAAGGTCTCTACTGGTACGCGAACCTTTTCAACATCAACACAGAGTTCAAGTAGCTAATTCACTGCTAGCTGTTACAATGCCTTCTCTCGACTCGACATGCGGGTTCATGTAACGATCCCTGGAACCGTCGAAAGCTACTGTGTGGACGAGCGAGGCGAGAAGCGCAAGGCGACGGATGACTTGTGGCTGGAGACCTACCTGTGCAGTGTCCTTCGAGCCTACTCTTACGCAGATGATGGTAGCGGAGAGACGATTCGGAAGATTATGGGTGTGCGCAGATACAACCCTGTTACCAACACCGAAACCGAACACCGCTTCCTCGGCGCCGCCGAGCAGCTTTTCTTCCGAGGTACCCATATATTTGAGAACATTTCAGGGTTTCTGTGCTAATGGTATCGTAGGCTGGCAGCTGGGCTCAGACTCTGTCGTTCAAGTGCCGAACAATGTCTCGAACCACCTGACCGCAGGCCTCTTGAAGTACTTTCAGACCACGGGGCGCCATGCTTCCGGCATCAACCTCTTCGAGAAACTCAGAGACCAAAACATCGAGGTCTCCTCCCTCTTGGCCAAGGTCCTCTTCATGGGCAACGAGGAAGTCCAAGGTGTCAAGGTGCTGCATCAGGCACTCAAAGAGTCGCCGATGGATTATGTTATGCTCGATACGCAAGCCGAGTTCCTCCTCAGAAAGGCGCAGACAGCCTCAACGCCAGAGTTGAAGGAAGAGAGACTTCGCTTGGCCCTGGGCTGCGCCGACCGCAGTACCATTGCCGCTCCTAGTGAATTCGGCACATGGGCGAGACTGGCGCAAGTCTACGTGGCAATGGAGGACTGGGAGAATGCCCTGACCATCCTCAACTCTTGCCCCATGTTCACATACCAGGACAAGGACGCGCCTCAAATGCCTGAGCCGAAGGATGTTCACCTCCCAACTCTTCCCGAGACCCGCTTGGATGAGATCGACAGCGAACCCGAGTCTAGATACTCTGAGCAGGTCGATGCTAGTCTCCTGAACCTTCGTGCTTCGGTTTATAAGGGAACCTTCAAGCAGGCTTACGGCATCCTGACCGAGATGACTTCAAAGATTGGATGGGATCAGCTTCTCAAGATTAGAAGCACAGTCTTTGTCATGGAGGACGAATACCGCTCCGAGAAGCAGGAAACCTCGCAGCCTCAGCGTAACCCCAGCACCGACGGCCTTCGTGGAACCCCAGACCCGACAACAAATGGCGACCGATCAGACTCGGAAAGTGACGACGAAGAGGGAGATGAGGAGAAGAAGGCGAAGCCAGCGGATACTGATTCTACTGCCGAGACATTGGCACCAAATGGACAGACAGAGGCTGTAGAGAAGCCTACCCATGCCATCGACCCCGGTGAACTGAAGGGCGATGCGGAGAATGTAAGTGTTCAGTCTTCCCCTTGGCTGAAGCCAAGTTAACACTTATCAGGGTGCGCAGACCGACGACCATCTCTCTAAGCTGAACAACAAGCGGCTTTGCGAGCGCTGGCTTGACAGCCTCTTCATGGTGTTGTATGAGGATCTGCGCGTCTACACGATCTGGCGCACACAGATGGCCCAGTATCGCGCGCAATCCATGCAGTATAAGAAGTCGGCTGAGGAGTGGGAAATTCTAGGCTCTCTGGCGGAGAGACTTCAACACCCAGAAGAAGCTGTCGAGGCCTATAGAGCGTGCCTCGCCGCAAGATTCAGCCCCAAGGCCTTGACTGGCATCCTTCGCGTGTTTGAGGAGGGCAAGAACACTCGCGAAACGGTCGCGTCGGTCATTCGTCTCGTCACCTGGCAGTACAGATGGTACTCTGAGTTCTCACCAGAGCTCCTCCATACAGTTCGGACACTCATTGAGGACGAGGGTGCAGTCAAGATCAGAAGCATCATCCAAGCTACCAGCCTCCCTCAGAACGTGCTCGATCTGACCCATCACTATGCTGCACTATGCGCCACTTTCCGCAGCAGCGGCACCGACGGTTAGTTTTGGGCGTTCTTTTGAGCCAGGGGCCGAGCAATAGCATCGGCAATAAGGCGTTGATGAATCGGAGGGATTTTGTGGTTCAAGATTTTCAAGCCTAGGATGTGACTTGCAGGAGGCAGTTGGGCACTCACATGTTCCACCATCACAGCGTGCATCGAAGTCATCTTGAAAGCACGCTGTGCTGGCTTTGATTGAAAAAAAAAGAAACATAGACCACCCTTACTTGGGGTTCAAGGCTATAACGCAGAGTCAAATGATACCTAGTTCTTCACTTGAAAGATGAGTTCAGATTGGGCAATATGAAGTGAGTGTGCTAGATGCGAGCTTACAACAGAATTCTAGGCTGGCCAGCACTGGGCCTCAACAGCTTTCCGGAGCAAAGTGCCCGAAGGAACGGAGCACACCGGGGCCGGCCCGCTCACTCAGATTCATCCTATGTATAGCGCCGATCACGCAGCAAAGCTTTAAAGGGGTACTGATATCACCCCTACGTCAAACCGTGTATTTTCTGTTTTAATCATGGCTGCATCGAGGGTCTCTGGAGTTTGGACGATAATGCGGTGGCGGCATACCATCTGGCCAGTTCGATCAGTGTCGATGAGATATCGATGAGATAAAACTGTCCCCACCAGCACCACATTTTGGCGGATGCAGTGATTTCATCGCACAGCGATGGGTGATATCACGAAGATGACGTCGCCAGGTTTGACATGAGACGGCAAGCCTGAATGAGACTCGACGAAGACTACATAAGTTGATGATTGCAGACCGTGGAATGCCTATTCATCATTGCAATCTCAAGCAAACCAAACCTCCAAACACAACCTTCAAACAACTGGTTCATAAGCACCCGCTATTTCATTTCACTTATACCCAACATTTCAAACCACGACTCAATCCAAATCCTACAATAACAACATACAAAATGGCACCCTCAAAGGATCAGCTCATGGAGACGGCAGCTCAGGCCCAACTCGACATGAACACATACCAATCCAAGACGGGTGCCGCCCGCCCCCAGGGCAACGACGACGCCGGCGTCTCCAACATCCAGACGGAGAACCGCTTCCCGGGCGCCACCGTCACCGTCCAGGGCGACCCGATCAACAACGTCTCGTATAAGCCCGAGCAGCCGCCCAAGAACCCGGCCGACAACGACGACGACGTCGTCCCCGCCAAGAAGATTTCTTCGCTCGGCACGCAGGACCAGAAAGATGATATCTTGCTGCAGGGCGAGGGTGCCGTGCGGAATAATGTGGGCACTAAGGCGCCTGGTGTTGGCGGAGAGAAGTTCCGCGGTTCGGATTACTATGTTCCTGAGAGCGTGCCGGATAGCATCTCGGCGGAGGGGAACATTGCGCCTGAGAGCGTGACGCAGGCTTCTGCTGAGGCTGAGAACCCTCGGTAAAGGGTGAGGGTTCGGGAGTCTGATAGGGATTACTTTTACGGATGGAAGGATACCAAGCATTGTATGGTTATGATCATGATGTACAACAGTTATGGATCTGCCGAAAGGCTGTAAATCAAATGCACATCTGCAACGCAAACTAAAAAAACGCAAGTGGGAAGACAGTTACATGCCTGAGTGGAATTATGACCAGATGTTCTGGACGATTATCTGGTCTCGATTATAGAGTAATGAAGACCAAGCCATCCGAAATGCATTTTGATTGCATTCAAAAAAAACACATTCAGAGAAAACTACGCAGACCTAAAAGCACAAGTAAAGCCCAGTTATAGCATTTATGGTGCCACATGAAGACAGAGTTGTTGGTCAAGTTGATTGAATTTTGATATGACTTTTCATGAACTACTTCTGCATAAAATATTCGACTGTTCCCTCATCTTGTGACAATATGAAATCCGCCAACGCCTCGCTTTGAATCCATCCAATTCGCCGTCTAATCTATAATGCGCATGCCATGATAAAAGAAGAAAAAAAAGGAAAATGAGAAAAGAATCAAGAAACGCCATCAAGTAGCAGGCTGGTAAACATCAGCAACAAACCGATCGCCCAACACCTCCCTAGCATCCCGACCCAACACCTCGCTCAAATTGTTCAAGAAATCATCAACGGCCCTCGGCCTAGCGCACGCAAACACGAGAGCGCCATCCTCGATGTTCTTGACCAGCTTCTCCCGGACACCAGCCTCGAGCATCGCATCCTGCGCCCTCCTCTTCTCCTTGTTACTCCCCGTCAACCTGAGGATATCGAGAATGCCCGCCTCGCTTGCTTCCTGCACCGCTTCGCGCACGAGGGACTCGTCGGCCGCCTTGAAGCCAGCGAAGAGGCTGATCGCGGGGCCCTTGGTGGACTTGTCGCCCGAGGACCGAAGACGCTGGAGACGGTTCTGCAGGAGTCCGCGGACGGGGGCCATGCCGGATCCCGTTGTGAACACGATCATCGGCTTGTCCTGGTTCTCGGCCATGGCCTGCAGGTGCGATGAAGGGCGGATCTTGCAGGTCGCGGCACCAAAGGTCTCGAAGCAGTTGAGGTACTTGTCCGAGAACTTGCCGTTGGGGTGGTGCTGCACCAAAAGATCCAGCGTATTTCCATTCTTTTGCTTCGTTCTCGAACCGTCAGAGGCAATGGAGTATTCCCTCGGCTGGATCGTCGGCATCGCGTTGCATAGCGCATCCAGCGTCACGGTCTGTCTCCAGTTGGCAGGAATCTGGTGGACCACATTCTCAATAGGAACCTTGGCCAACGTCTCCGGCTGGGGAAGAGACAGCCACTCTGCCCACTGTGTAGACTTGAAAGGCTGGTCCAAGTCGGCAAACCGCTGGAAGAACTCGCCTACGGTAGGCTCACCGGGAAGACTAAGCCGCTCTTCGGCCTGCACGCCGAGAGCGCCCAGGACGCGAGACACCTTGTTCTGGGAGTTTGGCGGCAGAATCCAGACGCTGCCCATGGTCGGGTACTCGCGATCGCCCAGGTCGAGGGTGACCCTCTTCATGCCGTCCGCGGCGGTGCCAAGGACAGGCTGTCCGACGACCTTTGCCTGAAACCACGGACGGGTGTCAAAGGGTCTAAGCTGGCGAGCGGTCCGCTGCACGTCACTCGTCTTGTTCTCTTCTTGTGGCGGGCTTGACTTTTGGAGCCCCGCGAGAACCTGATCGAAGAACTGGCCGAGGACGGACCACGGAGGGTTCTCTGTCGCGGTGTCGGCTTCGCGCATACCAATGAGTCTCTGGGCATCACCTTTGCTCAAAAGCTCCTCGATGTCCATGGCGGCCTGGTTGTAGGTATCGGCGTACTCGAGGGAGCCGTTTGCAAAGATGGCATACTGGCACGAGATGGCCTTGGGATTCCTCGCCAGCGCGTCGGCGAAGGCCTTGCCATTCTGTGGGATCTCACCGCGACCCGTCGTGCTGGCGACGATGACCAGCACGTCATCGGGCTCGACCATGGAGATGGGCAGGGCGTTGAGCGTGCACGGCACCACGACGGACCCCAACTTGGGGTTGATGTCGCACGCGTGCTGCAGCTGCGCGCACAGCCTCTTGCAAAGCTTGATCGCGACGTTGCCCGAGCTGCAGAATCCGATGTAGATCCTGCGCCCGGGCCCCCGGGGGCTTAACGGCGTCAGGGGCGTGGTGGGCCTGAAGGCCTGCTGCTGCTGTTGCTGCGAAGCCGGAGGAGGGATGGGGAGAAACGTCGACGGGGAGGAGGCGGTGCCGAAGGGGGAGACTGGCGTGACGGGCCTCGTGAGGGAGATGGAGGGCACCACGGGGATGGAGATGTTGAGCTTCGTGTCCGAGGCGTAGTGGTGAGAAGGCCGCGCCGCGGGGCGGGCCTGTCGTTGCCGGTGCCAGGCCTTGATGGGATCTTGGGCGTGGCGGCAGATCAAGGGCTTTGGTTGGTAGTTTGGTGAGCCGCCGCGGTGCCAGATGGGAATGATGGATCCTTGAGGCGGTGCCAGCCAGTACGGGTCAGAGGGGAGGCGGAAGCCGTTGTTCATGAGGTGCTCGTCATCGAACTGGGCGAATTGCTCGGCCGCGCCAAGGGAATCTGACATTCTGACACCAGCCTGAGCGAAAGACCAGTATGTGGCGTAGTTGAGCTCGAGCTGCGCGCGGGACTGGTTGGTAATGTTAGCAGACGCATCTCAGATGTAAGCAATATGGAAGAGATGCTTACCAGCACCGCCAGACGCTCGTAGTCGGGGAGGTCATCTACATCGCCATCGACCAAGCCGATCGCCTTGGCGACCTGCGGAAGCGCGTTGTAGCGGAAGGAATCTGCGAGGTTGCGAACACCGATCTCAGCGTCCATGAACCTGCGTTTGCTTTGTCAATGATGTAATTCTTGCACCTCAAAACAAGTTCAACTCACCATCCAATAAAGGGCGCAGCGGTGTACTGGACACCGCCGATACTGAAGCCAAGGCGGCTGAGTGCCGGCGCGGGAACCCAACGCAGGCCAAGGGTCTCGAGCTCAGGGTGCTTGGGATGGCGGATATGTACCAGAGGGAATGCGTCCTTGGGGAGCTCGGTGATGACGGGCTCTTCTCCCTCGGCCATGGTGACGAGGGGAAGCAGATCCCATTGTGAGCGGAAGCGCGGCGGTGTCCAGCCGAGCTCGATGATGGCGTTTGTGAGTTCCACGTTGGCGGGGTCTCCGAGGATTGTGCCGTTTGATTGTTGGTACTTGGCCGTGTTAGTCAATTGATCGGTTCTCATACTGGGAGGTAGAAAGACTTACCCCTGCAAAGGACAAGAGTTGTGAGTTCCAGATCATGGGACCGCGGCTGTCAATGTCTCTGGGAGGGAAGACAAAGACTGTCGGGTTGATTTCACCCGAGTTGTAGGCCACTCTCAAGTTCTCAATGAGAGTCTCGGCCATCTTTTTGCTTGTGCGAACATGTCTCAGGTCGCATAGCCTGCCAAAGACTATTAGTAAATGACTCGACATCACATCCGAATCTTTCTCATACCTCAAGTTGCTATACTCTGATCGCATGATGCACTTCCGAGCATGCTTCCAAGCCGTCCGAAGC